TAGCTCAGGCTCCACAAAGGCCCGCTCCTCCAGTGGCAGGATTCCAGAAAGGAGGGGCTGCAGATAGAGTGGAGGAAGGGTTCAGAGACCAGACAACAGGAGTCTCTCTGAAAGGACAGTGACCACCAAAAAAAGCTGACCCCTCTACCCCCAGCAAAGTAGGGGCCTGGCCCTGGGGCACATCATCTGGAGTGCAGTTGTGTCAGTGCCTGAGAGGCTCAAGGATGGGCTGCAGAATTAAATAAAATTAATAAATTAATTAAAAAGCAGAAATGGGAGGGGTGAAAAGTCTCTCACCCACCCCACATAGGCCTCCACCCCCTGCCTCCTCTGCCGGCTGTTCAGAGTGATAATCTGGGCCAGTGCGCACCAAAGCCAAGGAGGCTGTAAATCCGCATCCATCAGTGCTCAGCCATTCGGTCGGAATTAGCCAGTCGCTATGGCCTTAATTACTTTGTCAAAGATGAAAAATAGTAATTGATTTTGTCCTCTATCACTTGCCCCTCTCCCCTCCTTCCTTGCAGATAAGCAAATAAATAGCTATTTGCGAAAGACCGAGTCCACCACCCGGCTGGGGCAGCCTAGTGGAAAAAGAACTGTCTGCTATATAGTACTGAAGCTGGCTCTTGCGCAGCTGGAATGCAGGCAGAGAGTACCCAGAGGACAACCTGGCTAAGCCAAGTCGCTGCCCTCCTTCTCCCCAGAAAGAAGAGAGGAGGGGAAGGAAAGGGTGTTTTACAACACTCTATATTATTCACCAGTGCTAGTGGCCTCAGCCTTCTCTAGTAGTTAGAACTTGGTGCAAGGAAGAACCCACAGAATGACTCATCAGAAAGGCCAGGGAACTCGCCTAGGGTCTGCAGGCAAAGCTGGGATCGGAGCCGGCAGTCTGTGTGGATTCCAGTCTACCCCACATCATACAGAAGACACGAAATGTGTTGTAAATTGTGTGTCTGTGTTCAGTTGGTGTTTATATGGGTGTGTCAACACTTAAAACCTCTACAGATGATGGATGTGAGGGCACCACGTGAGTTTCAGGTGACATTGCTGATATTCAAGAAGCCATACAGTATTTTGCCTGAGTGTCTACTGCTGCTGTTGTCTTTGCAGTGCTGCGCTGTGTTAAGAATCTGAGTTCTGCAGACAGAATGCACTAGCTCCTAGTTCTGTGACCTTGAAAGACATTGTCCATTTGCTAAATAAAGACAAGAATTACACGGGGGTGTGGAGGGGCTTAAGGATAAATGAGAGTGTACAAATGAAGTGAATGAATTGAAGCTGGCTACCTGAGCAGTGCCTATTGATATTATTCTGTCTAGGTGGACAGTATACTTGAAGACTCATATGTTGAGTAAAGAGAGCAGATCCCTGTACCTGGTTCAGATCAGAAGGTGAATAGATTGATATATGATGCCAAAAGCTGTAAACTTCCGGAAAAGATATCAAGTATTTACCTCCATTTTAAAAATCTTAGAATCACCCTAGACAAAGTGCCCAAACACTGAAGCTGCTGAGGGTGTGTCCAGAAGCACCTTGGTTTCTATTAAGGTCAAATGCAGCGTATAGTGCAGAAGATTGGAGCTTAGTGATCAGCCTCACAGTCCAGGTCTCCTTTAGACCTCCAGGTCAGGACAAAGACAGATTAAAGTAAGCCTCCTTCCCCAGACCACCCCCTAGAGTCACTGAGGACTCTGTATACCAGCTGCAGGTCCCAGATCCACAGCCTCCTGAAAGATGCTGCAGTAATGAGGAGCCCCACGTCACCAAAGCAGCCTGCAGGCTAGTAGGTGCTGGCCACAGAAGCAGGGAAGTTTAGAACAAACTGTGAAGGACCTTCAAGGACACCTGCAGTCTGCCACCTTAATTTTCCAGTATAAAAAGAATCCTGAGTCGCTTGTAGCAATAGAAACCAAGGCTAGTAGCATCTTCCTTTGAAAAATACACTGTACCAGCCTTTGAGCTAGCAACACCAGGCTTAGCAATATAGTCTAATGCAATTAAAATAAACTTTTTTATTAGGGCACAACTGACAAAATGGAAGACTAAAAAGGAGAGAAAGAAAGCATATGCACATTAGATCATTAGTAAGCAATGTTTGCAGCTAAAGTCAGATGGACATGGAGATTTTCATAAAATCTTGAGATAAGCCAGATACGTAAAGTGTGTAAAAAATGATCCTATTTGGGGGAATTAGAGATGTAGCTCACTTGGTAGATTACTTGCTCAGTATGCCCAAAGACCCAAGTTCAATCTTCTATGCTCAATAAAACATGGGAATTGTGGTGCACACCTGTAATGTCAGCACATGGATGTGAAGGCAGGAAAATCAGAAGTTCAAGGTCATCATTAGTTACATACTAAGTTTGAGGCCAGCCTTGGATATATGTGACTCTGTCTCAAAATAAATAAATGAAATTTTTTTTTTGGTGTGTGTGTGTGTGTGTGTGTGTGTGTGTGTGTGTAAAAGTAAATGAAACTGCCTGGAGGGCCAAGGCCCAGAGGCTGGATAGCCAGATAGCCCAGAGACGTGGAATAGAAGCAAACACAACTGATAAAAAAAAAAGTCAACGAAATCATTTCCAGTGATAATCTGCTATACTCATAGATTTATGCCTAGCTCAGTTGTCATCAGAGAGGCTTCAGTGGCGTCAACAACACCACACACACACACACACACACACAAAACCCCACAGAATCAACTAACCTGGGCTCATAGGAGCTTGTAGAGACTAAATGCCAACCAGGGAGCCTACAAAGGACTGACCTGGGCCCTCTGCATAAATGTTACAGTTGAGTAATTTGGTCTTCATGTGAGACTCCTAACAGTGAGAGCAGGGACTGTCTCTGACACTGTTCTCTGCTTTGGGGAACCAGTCCTCCTACTGGATTGCTTCATCCAGCCTTAATAGAAGAGGAGGTGCTTAGTCTCAATGAAACTTGATAGACCATGGCTGGCTGACATCCATGGAAGGCCTGCCCTTTTCTGAAGAGAAACAGAGGAGGAGTAGAAAGTGAAAGCAGGAAGAGGTGAGATGGGGGTAGGGACTGGGAGAAGAGGAGGGAGGGGAGGCTGGGGTTGGGATAAAAACAAAATAAATAAATAAATAAATAAATAAATAAATAAATAAATAAAAGTTAAATTATTATATGAATGTACATAGTGCAGCCAGCTGTAGAAGCACACATATTAGGAGACAATTCGGAATTCAGCTAAGTGGTTAATGCTGTGAACATTGTAGTGATCATAGTAGAGGGGGACAATGAAGGGCAGGCAGCCAAGTACAAAGGGCAAAAGGATAGGAAGGCTGTGTTCTAAAGTCTAAGTGTACAATAACATACAAATTTATGTCAAATGCTGTATATACTTTTTTACAGAGAGTAAATTCAGCAGTAGAGCCTATCAACCTATTTAACAAGAACACTCACCAAACAGGCCTCTCACCCATACTCATATCCACTGTCTTCCTGTGAGGAGTAGAGCTCAAAACAAGGAACTCAGTCAATTAAGGTCAAGTGTCAATATTTGTATAACTAGTCCTCCTTTTTTTCTGAAGTCAGAGTGGACGCTCAAGCTGGCCTTGAACCCACTACATAGCCAAGAATGACCTTGAATTTCTGATATTGCTGCCTTTACACCTGAGTGCTGGAATTGCAGGTGTGCCCATCACACCCAGTTTATGTGGTGCTGGAGACTGAACTCTGGACTCCACTCAGGCTAGGAAGAATGCTACTAACTCAGCTATCTCCCCAGCCCTAATCCTGCATCTAGAATTCTGTCCCCTCTCCTTGCTCTGCTGGGATGAAAGTGAGGTCTAATTAAGGCCTTCAGAGGACACAGACCTGGAAAATGTGATGCTGTCATATTCCTTCTAACCCATGTTAAATGTTCAGGAAACAAGAAAATGATTAAAATTATACCCAATTGAAAATTTCTAATTTTTATTCTTTCCCACACATGGATGCCTTTTTGGTAAACACCATACATTCAACTCCTTGTTCTTTCTTGTTCTTGGTAGCTTCTTTTACTCATTGTGTGTGTTTGGTAACTGTTTAGTAATTTTCCAGTTGTGAGTCTTCTGTGATTATCCATCTGCTCAGATTCCCAAAACCCACGAGAGGCTGGGTCTCAGTCACACTCAGTATTGAAGGGGACAATTTTTTGAATGTATTAGGTACAAGTTAATTGACATTGTTGTCTGCCGTGTTAGTAAACAAGATTCTACCCTCACCCCATCTGGGCTTCTCTTGCTGTCCTAGTTAGCTGGGGGTAAGATTTGAGTTCGTTATTAGGCAAACCTTGCAGGGACAAACAGAGTGAAACAAATTCGGGGAAGCTTCGCTGGTCAGGTAATTTGTGGAGTTAAGCATGGCTATGCAAAGATTCAGTAAAGAATGGAGAAGACAGGATGGTGGCCCTGAACCCTGATGCAGATGCACTGAGAACAACTGCCGGGCAACACTTAGAGGTTTGCCACTGCATGCAACTTGACAACTTTTGTTGACTGGACCATGAACATTATTGCCAAATTTGTGCCTATTGGTTCTGTTAAGCTGTAGCACACAACAGAATGAGAACAAGTCAATCAATGGCCTTGAAGAATCTGACCCTATTGTCATCATTAGGGCTTGGAAATGATCCTGAATCTTCTTAGACAGTCTCTTAGGATTTGCTTTCTAGTGCAGACCTCTCCCTGAGTGGCGAACGAAGAACAGTTGGATGCAAATGATAAATGTGAACCAAGCTCAGCCACTCTTCAGCTATGTATCCTGGGAGGTTACTCAGCCTCAGTCTTGCTTTTCCTTTCAGCAACACTGGTCCATTGTGGTGAGTGAATTTGATGAGTATTTTACAGACTTCAGCATACATACTGACAGAATAAATCAGCTACCTTGTGATATTGGATTTGGAAGTTACCTGAGAAGTCACAATTTCTTATGTTAAGCCGAGCATGTCTGGATTTGTTCAAGTCTTTATTCTTCTCATCTTTCTTAACAAGCCATGAGTGTTGTCTCTTTGTGTGTGTGTGTGTGTGTGTGTGTGTGTGTGTGTGTGTGTGTGTGTGTGTTATGTTTAATGCCAGCTCCTGCTGTAACTCTGTCTTTGGAACTGTAGAAACCTCTGGAGTCTTTCTCCCTAAGGCTCATTGCTTTTCCTCCTCCCTAGCTTTTCCTAAGCAGAGTTTGCATGCACTCTGAGCCTCTCTAGCATCCACTACATCATAACTGTTCACCCCTCGAGTGTCTTTTCCTATTTACATGTAAATTAATTAAAATGAAATTAAATGTAAAATTCATTCTTCTGTCACAGTAAATAAATTTCTGGTGTCCGCCAGCTATTTGTACTGAAGAGTATTGAGTAGTGCTGTCATTGTAGGAGATTCTGTGGTGAAGCACTGGTCTAGACTGCAGGCCTTAAAACACAGAAGGCATGGTCTTAAGAGATGTTTATTCTTTCACAAGTCTCTGACTCTCTGTCTCTCTCTCTCTCTCCTACACACACACACACACACACACACACACACACAATCTAATTTGGTCATATTGCCCCATTGTCCCCACTAATGTCTTCCCATTGAAGCCCTTCTTCCAACAAGCCTCCTTCCCACTTTCAAGTCGTGATGTGTGTGAGTCCTGCTGTATTTCATTAGGGTGTATTTCATTGCACCCTACTTGCTTGACTGAGGGCCACCTACCAGTGGCTACACCATTGAGGAATATGATTCCCCTCCCTCCAGGAACCATTCATTAACCCAGAACTCTGTATCATCTATGTATATATTTGTCCACATCTCCACTTTGGATTCTTGGGTTGGGCTCCTAACCATGGAATTGCACAAATCTGGGAATCCAGTCTTGCTAGTTCATTTGCAGACACTTTGCTGGAGCTGTGTGGGAAGAAGCACCCACACTCTGCAGATGAGGACAGTTCTCTGTGGCTTCCTCCCAGCCCTCTTCCCAGGGATGCACAGGAATCAGTGGCACCTCTGGCTGATGAAAAAGGTATTCTTTGTTTCTATAAAGAACAAACAAAATTTCTCTTTAGTATAAAGGATTTTTTAAACAAAAGAATATTTCTTGGCAAATATAAATATTCGTAATTGTCAGTACAATATCCACATTTTACAGCTATTAGGACGAAACAAATGAGCCCATCTGTTTACACAGGATTTAATTACACAGTTTTGAGAAATGATGCTAATGTCGTCAGAACAAGCAGGGTTTGTGAGCACTTCCTCTGCAGGGAAAATGCCTGGCTCCCTCTGCCTTCTGGAAATTGTTTGCATGATGACGTGCTTTTCCAGGTCATTAACCTGGGCACAGCTGGGGGGGGGGCAAAATGAAGAGCTCCATGCAAACCATCCCAGGGTCGGGGTGATTGGTGGAGCCAACAAAGAAAAGACCCTTTGTCACTGACCCCTGAGGGAGCATTTGGGGAACGTTAGCGTCTGTGATGGGCATGGTTCAATGCTCCCGTTGTTCCTTGAAGGCCTGCTTTCACTGATACTGAGAGAAAAAGGTGGACTGTGCCCCATGTGAGCTGTTCAACCTGATGCCAGCAAAGACATTTAGGACGTTGTTTGTGAGACCATGCTTTCAAGGGGTACATCTACAGTGTGTTACTAGAGTGCTTTGTTGGCTTCCCTAGAGTTCCACTGTGCTCTGTGGTACCATTGTGTCCCTTCTTTCCCCCGCCCTCTTTCTTCCTCTCTCCCTCTTTCTTTTCTTTCTTTCTTTCCTTTCTCTTTCTTTCTTTTGATAAGATCTTACTATGTAGCCCTGGCTGGTCCTGAACTCACAGAGAGCCACCTGTCTCTGCCTCCCTAATGCTGGGATTAAAGGTGTGTTGTTCAATTTACATTGGTATAGATTCTTGTATATTGATACATATGTAAAATTATTTTTGTATTCCTGTCTAAGATAATTTGTATATTGATACAAATTCAAAATTATATTTGTCATATTGTATATATTTCTATTTCTGTTTACAATGTTTGTGTACATAAATGTAAAATTATTTTTGTCATACTGTATGTAAGTTTCTACTGCTTAAGATACTTTGTATACTGATACAAATTAAGGAAATTTTTGTCATATTACACTATACATTTCTACCTCTGATTAAGATTGTTTTATATATTGTTACAATTTCAAGGTCATTACCCTCATGCTGCACATATGTTTGAAGATTATTTAGTCTTTAAGCTATATAGATTATTAAAAATTACAGGTTAATAGTCACTCATGTTTGTCATACATATAGCTATGTTGGTTCTCTAGATGCACAGAGATATAGTCTGGATAGGTAATCTTCAAATACTTCAAAGGCCTAGAAATGTTTTCATAACTTAGAATCCTGTTGATATGAGATGCAACTGCTCCTGGCAGCACTGATCTACTCCCATGAGAATGATGGGCACTGGAGACATTCCATTTGGAGTTTGTTTTTTCTTGGTAAAACTGGCCTATTGGGCAAAGAACTGCACTTGCCTTGACTGCAGACTATAAGCACGCTGTCCAAACTGGACAAGCAGGATACAAGGAAAAGTGACCGCTGAACCTTGCTAAGACAAGGTAGGGCAGTCTTTTAAATGTTCCTGCTTCTGATAATGGTCTGTCAGATATTCTAGGCCAATAGCCAAAGTTGGTTGCCCCAACATTGCAGAAAGACTTTGAGTGACTGTCCAGGTAGCCAGCTGTTTCTGTCATTTCTTCCATCTTTTGGAAGCCTCTTGCTTGCACTTCCTGCTTATGCAGGTAATATTATTATAATTTGACAGGGTTGAAGTCTAGATTAGATAGTCACAGTTACTGTCTTCTCCTATCTTAACTAAGAGTATATCAGATTCTAGATTCAGATTCTCCAGGATAGGACAGATATTGGAGTAATCTCTATAATTTACCATTTACCTATGTTCTGGACATTTAGTATGTGTTTCTTACTTGATGTTGTTCTTGTTGGTTATAGTTCCATTTTGTTTATGTTATTATCCTTTATTTCTACTGGACAATATTTGATAATCATTCTTATTTATATAGTTTTGCATTAGGCTTAGTGCCTTCTTATTTAGACTAAAAGGCTCCACCCATGACTTTGTGCTGTCTGTACTGAGAGAGATGGTGCTTCTAGCCTGTCAATGTGACCTCTTAAAAAGGAAGAAGGGAGGGGGTCACTTGCTTTCTTGGGTCAGGTGGCATGAAGAAGCATGTGATCAGTCCCCAGCTTTCCAAGGGCTCTACAACTGGATTTAGCATATCCTATATTTGTGAGTATATTTTTCCATTTTTCATATCTTAATAAATCCTTGATACCCCTTGAACAGATGCATGTAGATTTCTCACTATTGGCAACACCCTCTCTGATTGCACCATGGGCCTATCTGCCTTAGACATTGGCTTTCCTGTTCTCAGGCTTGTATTGGAGCAGCCTCTGGCTTTCCTGGGCTCCAACTTGTAGACAGCAGCTGGTAGAACTTCTAAGCCTCTGTAAGCACAAGTCAAGCTGGTAGTACACTCTACTGGTTCTATTTCTCTAAAGAACACTAACACCCCTCTCCCAAAAGAATCTACTCTGTCTTTAATATTCCCAAATAAGATCTTGACCCTGAGGTAAAATTTAAAGCTTATTTAGATTTTGAAGCCCAAATTCTCACAATGATAGTAAGAAACCAGATAGTCTTCATTCCTCTCACCCTATATCTTCATGCTAGGGACTACATTTAAGTTAGCGTCTGGAGTATTCCTGATTAATAAGACTTTAGAACTTGAGTACTATGCCAGGTGGCGACCAAAAAGAAGTTCTCAGAAAGATCTGGTGTGAACATTACCCAATTTGCATTCTTCAGGCAAAGGCTGGCAGAAGAGTGACACTGTTTCAACTCAGTTCTCTGTCAGAGTTAGTCTGCCTTACATCATGAACATAACATTTTGGTGTACTTATTTCTCAGCTATTGGGTTTTCATCTGAAAAATGAGAGTTCATCTAATTACAAATTAGAGTTCATCTCCTAACAAATAGAACACACTTTGGTGTCATCAGTTAGAGTTAGCAAGTAGGACTTTTACATATAGGATATTCCAGAAGGCAGGCACAGCTTTATGTGCAAAGATGCATCATCTACAGTAAGTTAACTTAGAAATTAAATGGGGAAATAAAGTAATTTAAACTTGGGGAGCTCCAAAATGGAGAGCAATAACATTATTTTCAAAGATGCAGGGAACCACTTAAGGTCCTGCATTAAAAGATGAAGATGACAGAATGTTCTCAGCTGTGAAGAACTCAGAGAAAGATCTGCCTGCTTCTGGTACCCAAATGCTGGGATCAAAGGAGTATTCCACCATGCCCTGCACAAGTGACAGGTTTCTTGTGTCAGCCTAGCCACATTTCAAGAAACTGTATGAAATTGGATGAGAGCTAGTGTGATGGTAGGTCATGCTTGAAATCAAAACACTCAGGGGATTGAGAGGGAAGGGTGGTGATTTTGAGGCCAAAATAAGATACACAGGGAAATTCTGTCCCCAAACAATAAAAAGCATTGTATGGCTTTTGCCTCTCTTTTCCATCAAGATACCGGTATATCCCAGATAGAAGGTGCCTTTTATTCCACATCCCCAAGCAGAGAGCACACAGTGTGGAGCCACAGGCAACTGCTCCCTAAGCAAGCAGTTTGTCTTTGCTGTTCTTATTGGCTGTGAATGGGGTACTTACCGAAACAGGATATACGAAAGGCTAGATGATGGCCAGAAACTCAGACATGAAGTGCACAAGGAAACCAGGGTAGATTGTATAAATAAAACAGTGAACAAAATGGATAAAATAAAAACAGCCAACAAATCCCCAAGGTATTCTTCTAGCTCGAAAAAGAAACTACAAACTGGAATGGTGACAACATCCAGATGGGTAAAGGATGTGTGAGATGTATCCACAAACAAGTGCCAAGAAGACTAGCCGCTGGCTGATGCTGTCTGAAAAGACTTCCGTGGTGGTGCATACATGTGATCTTCAGTGTCAGCCTGGGCTACAGAGTGAGACCCTGTCTCTACTTGCCTTTCACCGCCCCCCAAATATGAAACAAAAATACTCTGTGGAAGGAAGGTGCATGTGCTGGCTGGACTCTACCCTGTCTCCATGTGGCTCCCTCAAAATCAAGTTCCCAAAACATGGGCAGTTAAGGGGAAAGAACCCTGAGGGAGCCAGAGACAGCATTGTACCTGGCCCAGGTGACTATAGATGCCATTCGCATGCAGGTCATACATGCTCTGTTGCTCCCCAAAGAGGTTAAAACTGAGCATTGTAGAGAGGGGGACTAGAAAGATAACTAAGAGGTAAAGAGCAATAGCTGCCCTTGCAGAGGACCTGGGCTCAGTTCCAATCACCAACACGGCCCTTTACAACTATCTATAACTACAGCCCCAGGAGATCCATCATCCCTCTTCTGGCCTCTGTGAGCAATATGTATGTATGTATGTATGTATGTATGTATGTATGTATGTATGCAGGCAAAATCCTAATGCACATAAAATAATCTTACTGGGCTTTGGACTGGATCTACCTTGACTTTAGAACTCCCCACGAGCTTCCTGGCTGGAAGCAAGTCATTAAAATCTCTCTAAGCATTCGTCTACTTTTTTGGAAGTGAAATAATTACAACACTGTCTTAGGCCATAATTTTGTTGCCAATAGTACAAGACCACAGACCAGGAAAGGCCTCAAGAAACATGGTTTAATTTGGATCATGGTTTGTGATGTCCAAGGTTTAAGGGCTGCATCTGGCCCTTGGCGTCTTCGTGGGACAAACAACACATGACAAGAGACAGGAAGCATCCATGTGGCTGAGTCCTCTGTTCTGTCTCCCTTTTCTTTCAAAGACTCTTCTTGTAGGGGATCCTTATAGGAGATCCTTGTGATCTTATTGGCTTCATATCACCTCTCACAGACCCAAACTCTTAAGACTATAATTGTATGGTCCCCACTCCTGTTAACAGTTCACAACAATGACTTGACTCCATCATGTAC